TTCTGTTTGAAGCCATATTTAAGCATAGCTTGAGTGAATCTTTCAAACCAAGCCTTTGAAGACTGTTTGAGACCATATAATGACTTCTGAAACTGGCATACTTTACCCTTTGTTTGATGATCCTCAAAATCAGGAGGAATATCCATATATACCTCTTCTTCTAGGTCACCATGGAGAAAGGCATTCTTTACATCAAACTGATGAAGTGGCCAATCTAGATTAGCTGCTAGAGAGAGAAGTATTCTGACTAAATTTATCTTAGCCATAGGTGCAAAGGACTCCTAATAGTTAATGCCATATGCCTGAGTGAATCCTTTTGCCACAAGTCTAGCCTTGTAACTCTCAATAAAAACAGCCGCTTTGTATTTCACAGTATACACCCATTTGGATCCCACAAGTCGTTTGCCCTTATGTAACTCAGTCAATTCCCAAGTGCCATTCTTTTTAAGTGCTTTCATTTTCTCAATCATGGCAAATTTCCACTCAGAGGTAGCAAGAGCATCCCGAAAATGGTTAGGAATGCTAACAGAGGAAATATTTGACACAAAAGCTCTATATGAGGACAACAAATGAGAGGAGGACGACAAATGAGAGTAGGATACAAAATTTGAGATAGGATGTTGAGTACAAGATCTCACACCCTTTCTTTTAGAAATAGGAACATCAAGATCAGTGGACTCAAGAGATTCAAAGTTATATAGACTCTCATCAGAAGCACGAGATGGTAGTGGGTGAGTAGAAGTGGTCTCTTGTATCTAGTTAACTTTCTGTCTGTCTTTGTCCCTGACATAAACTTGCCCTTCCCTATCTTTGGTGACATTGGGTTCTGTAGTCCCAGCAAGAGGTGGTGGTGGTGCAAGAACAACTGGTTCTGTCATAGGAATCACAAGAATCATTTCACACCAAGACTCCCCCTAAAGGGAGGATTGTGTCACCAGAGAGAACAAGAAATAGGATTGAGACTCAAAGAAGGTGACATCAATGGATATAAACCACTTACGAGAAGGAGGGTGATAACACTTATACCCCTTTTAAGTAGGAGAGTACCCAAGGAAAACACATTTAAGGGAGTGAGGGTCCAACTTATCACGAGTAGGAGAGTGATTGTGGACAAAAAAGACAGCCAAATATTTTGGGAGGAATAGAAAACAAGGATGCGGAACCTAGGAGGACTTGAAGGGAAGCTTGTTTTTGCCAGACCTGGGTAGGAAGATAATTAATAAGATGGGTAGCGGTGAGAACAGCGTCGCCGTAGTAGGACCGAGGCACACTCATAGAAAAACACATGCATTGAGCCATGTCAAAAAGATGACGATTCTTTCGTTCCGCCACCCCATTTTGTTTAGGGGTATTGGTGCAAGAGGTCTGATGGATAATGACATGAGCAGAAAAATATTATCCTAACCCAAAATCTATTTATTCACCCCCATTATCAGAACGAAAGATTTTGACAATGGCCCCAAACTGAATACAAATCATCTTATGAAAATTGCGGGACACAGAGAAAACCTCACTCTTATCTTTCATGAGATGCACCCAAGTAGTAAGAGAAAAATTATTAATAAATGTAATAAACCATCGATGACCTTTCACAGACATAACACAAGATGGACCCTAGACATCAGAATGTATTAAGGAAAAAGGAACTAAACTTTTATTAAAATTGGGAGCCAAAGAAGCTCTGTGTTGTTTGCCAAGTTAACAAGACTCACAAATAAACTCAGACATAGTATTGTAGACAAAAATAGATGGAAATAAATGCTTAACTAAATAAAAAGAAGGATACCCAAGACGCCGATGCCACAACCATAAATCATCTGGAGTGGTAGGATTCGTGGTGGAAGAATGTGCGAGCTTGTCCTGTTGATCTAGGAAGTAGAGACCATTTTCTACACTACCACTGTCAATCATCTTCCTCATAACAAGGTCCTGAAAAAGATAATGATCAGGAAAAAAATGTCACATTACAATTCAAATCCTTTGCAATACTACTCAAGGATAACAGGTTAACAGAAAAATTGGGAACATGGAGAACAGAAGATAGAGGTCTGGTAAGAGTGACATGGACTAAACCTTTTCCAAAAATAGAAGAAACAATACCATTTGCAATCCTAACTTTGTCTTGACCTAAAGAGGGCTTATAGGCAGAGAAAAAGTCAAAAGATCCAGACATGATCTGAGGCACCAGAATCAATAATCTAGGGCAAAGACTTATGAGAAAATAAAACACGAGGAGAAGAGACTAAGTTACTTGAGCGGGCAAACGACAAGGAACATGTACTGAGAGTAGTAGAAGACCGGCGGTCCAGCAAGTGACGTACAACTTCTTCAAGCTCATGAGTAGTCATGCTAGAGAGACCATCAGAAGTTTGGCTGACGGAAGCGGAAGTAGAATCAAGTGTATCAACGGCACTAGACTAATGAGCCTGTGGATAAGAGCCGCGTCCTCTAGACTGGCTTGACCGACCTCCTCTAGAACTAGAGTGATCACCTCGACCCCCGAATGGAGTCCCATAAAGCTTCCAACACGTCTCACTAGTATGACGCGGCTTGCGACAATAATCACAGACTACAGTCTCCTTGGCGGCAGACGGAGGGATGAGAGTCCAGCTGAGGCCATCTCTAGGGGTAGACAGTAATGCTGAGCAGTCAGTAGAGACAGGTGATGTAAAAAATACTGTATTATTGATTGATATTGATTGATCTATTGATACATATTCTGTCTATTACAAATGGTTCCTTATATAGATGTAGGTGTAGTAGATGGTGTGTAGTGGATGGTGGTAGTGGTGTAGTGGGTTAGGTTTAGTGGAGTAGGTGAGGTGGTAGTGGTGTAGTGGGTTAGGTTTAGTGGAGATATTGCACTGGATTGTGAGCGATGTTGATGGCGGCCTTATTATCACAGTATAACTGCATGGAGTCCATCTGATTAATACCTAAATCACTCAGCAATAACTTGATCCATAAGAGCTCACACACTCCTTGTGCCATAGCTCTAAACTCAGCTTCTACACTTGACCTGGCAACTACATTATGTTTCTTACTCCTCCAAGTAACTAGGTTGCATTCAACAAAGGTGCAATACCCTGAAGTCGATCTCCTATCAGTTATTGATCCAACTCAGTCAGCATCTGTATAGGCTTCCATTCGAAGATGATCATGCTTTGAAAAATAAAGACCCTTACCAAGAGCAGACTTCAAGTACCTCAAATTCTTATGATAGCCTCAAAGTGAATCTGATGAGGAGCATGTATAAATTGGCTAACCACATTGATAGCAACAACAATATTAGGATTGGAGTGAGATAGGTAGATGAGCTTACCCACTAATCGCTGATAGCTCCCCCTATCAACAGTTGTTCCTCCTTCATCATCCCCCAATTTCTTATTGGGTTCCAATGGAGTGTCACAGGCCTCGTAGCCAAGCATCCAAGTTGCTTTCAATAGGTCAAACACATACTTCCTCTGTGAGATAAATATCCCATCCTTGAAACGAGCAATTTTAATTCCCAGAAAATACTTCAAACTCCCAAGTCTTTGCTTTCAAGCTCATTTGCTAAATATTTCTTTTTTATTTTATTTATTTTTTAAAATGAAAAAAATTAAAAATAAACTTTCTTTTATTTTTATATTTTTATTTTATTTTATTTTATTTTTTTTAATAAAGTGAAAAAAAAAAAAAAAAAAAAAAACAATTGCACCAATTTACAAATTTGCACAATACACTCATTTTATTCATATCGGGATCAACCCGATCCACATTTTACACAAAAAAAAAAAAAAAAAAAAAAAAAAACAACAACAACAACAAAAATCACAACAACAGCTTTGTTTTCTTCTTGCAGACGGCCACCCACCGACCCTACTCTGCCGCCGGCTCTTCTTTTTGCCTCCGTCCTGGGCGGCCCTTGCCGGTGTTGCCTCCGTGTTTCCCACTCCACTGGGCATGATCACTACTCCCTGCTCCTCCACTGCAGCATATGGCGGCCCTCCAAATCGGAACATCACGGTGGCCTTCCGCTTCAGCTCCTTATTTTCTGCTTTCAGCACACTATCTCTGCTCGCGCATCCTTATACATGCTTGGAGCAGAGCCAGTGGGGTTTAACTGCTGCACCTCATTTGCCTACTCTGCAGCCGGTTCGACAAATTTGTACCGCCGTCATGGTTTCCACACATGACTTAATGTATACTGATTGGCCTCCACATCTGACTCACTGCCATTCTTTTGCTCCACGACGCCGCATCGGAAAGTTCAACGGAGAACTCCGGGGCCTTGGTTGAGGTTCCAGTGCCACCGCCCAGTTCTCTCTCTTGTTGACTCGTTGAGGTCGGGAAAGAGGGTGAGCAGTCCACGGGAAGACGAGACCATTTTCTGGCAACAGAGATTACAGACTACCTCTCACAGAAGTCTCTTTCTCAGCAACGCCAAGTTTTTCAGAGGATTTCTAGCATTTTTCTCTGCCCTTGCCTCAGCTCCCTGTTAGAATAGCCAGGCAGCCACGCGCATCGCGCGCCTCTTGCGCACCGACAACGCCGCACCAAGGCCAGTGCTGCACGTGTCTGGCACGCCTTTTTTATGGATTGGCACGCCTTTTGATGGCACGCCTTTTAAAAAATTGGGCACACCTTTAGCGTGGTGCGCTTCTTTAAGGGTCAACACAGAACTCTGTAAACTGTCCCGACATAGAT